AACTACTTTTTTAGTAAAAAAAAAACGATAGATACTTTCTTTATCTCTAAACAGTCTAACTTAGTTTTTGTATTGTCAAAAGTGATCACTTATCTACCAAACACATTTCATTGGCCTACGGTACATATTTACATTCATACCTGATGAACAAAATGGGAAAACAAATAATACACTATGTCCTTAGGGAGTATGCTAGGGCTGAATCTGAATGACAAGGTGAGAAATAGTGTGATAAGAGAAAAGTGTGGTTTGTAAGATGACGTTGTGACAAGGATTAAGAAAGGAATGCTTCGGTGGTTTGGTCACGTAGAAAGAATGAACGAGGAAAGAGTGACAAAGCAAATTTATGTTGCAGAAGTGAATGGCAGGGTCGGGAAGGGACACCCTAGACGAAGGTTTATCGACCAAATCGGCGATACATTAAAAATGGGCCAGATTAGGAGTACCCTTAACCGAAGAGCGTGTATGCGTAGATATAAAAGTAAAGGAGGCGAGAGAGGTGTGTCAGGATCGCGCCAAATGGAAGTCCGTAGTCTCTGCCTACCCCTCTGGGTGACAGGCGTGAGTGTTTATGTATTATGTATATATGTACATACATTGGCATTGGCAACCCTGCTTATGTGGCAACGCCAAGCAAGAGTCTATAGTTTTCGCTGTCTACGCATTAATAGTAATTCTTATACATTGAACGTTGCCGGTAAACGTAGAGGTATTCTCTTTGGTTGACGGTATAATAATGGCACAGCTACTGCATAGACATAGTATCTTATAGACTAAACATTCAGTGACGTTATCAGCGTGTGAAAGGAATGCACGTATATAGTTAGACATAAGAGTAAGGGAGAAGCAAATCTATATTTCTTGTCTTTTTCTAGGTATGCGTTTTTGATTGTTTTCCCGCCTTTATTTGGCATTAACGATGTCAAGCTCTTTTGAATAATATTGATATTACAAGCAAACAGGTAATTGAATTAAGTGTTTTTTGTGGGTGTTAGTTATTAGGTAAGGCGAAAAAGATGGTAAGTTGTAGCATTTTAGGATGCAACAGCATCAGTCAACGAAAAATTAATAATATTACCTATCATAAGTAAGTTTGTTTTGTGCTAACATTTGCTACTTGTACTGATTAATATCTATTGTTTTGAATATAAAGTGTAACATTTCATGTGTTTAATGAACTTTGTGATGTATTTTGTCAAATATTTGGATTCCCAAATTGTAAATTCTTCATGATAATGCTCCTTAGTTTAAACGGTCATTCGAAAGTTTAAAGTCATAACAAACGTGTACTTTTTGATTTGGTAGGATTATAGAAACTTTAGGGATATCAGCGCGTACAATAATGTTTTCGCATTGTTCAATAATTATTTTTATTGTGATTAGTAGTTATGTCCATAAATATGAATCACATAATGTTATACATATACATACACTTTTATATTCAGCTTTAAAGGAAACTCCTTATTGCCCTACAACTCTTCAATCATTTTCCATATTACATAGACGTCGCAAATAATATGTAAGTATCAACCTGAAAACACGTTTGTATTCAAGTACATAAATGTTGTGCAAAGTATATTTAATTTCACAAAATATGTATTGCCTGAAATCAGATACACAAAACTTTATTGCATTCCATTAATTCTATTATACATTAGCAACAATTACATTACAATATTTATTAAAAAAATATGTCATGCTAAAATAAAAATAAATATAAATATATAGATAAAATAATAAATAAGTCTTAATTTTAAGGTACACAATAACACAACAACATAAGATAATATTCTCAATTAATGATGTAGAAAAAATTTGATGATAATATATTTACCGTTACCATTAGTCAGTATCAAAAGTCAAAAGTTATAGGTTTTGTGATAGTTGCCTAGCTTTGCAGGAGAATTGGCAACTGCAGTTATTTGGAGACAAACTGTGTGGGAGGTCTATGTTCAGCATGGAGGACATTTGTTAGGCTGTAAATGTATTAATTAACAATATCTAAAGCTTAATCATAATTTTATTAAATGTTTGGTATGAGTAATATTATCATTACATTTACATATACTTGCTATTTAATTCAATCAATTGATATTGTTTTAATTGTTATAGGTATTGTATTTATGCACAGATACACATACTTGATTTTTTTTTGTTAAATACCTTGATATAAATGAGTACTATATATTTAATATATTAATTTCTTTTAAATATATTATTTCACAGCTTTCCTAAGGAATCAGCTATCCGTAACTGTTGGATAATCGCTACTGGTAGTGATTATAGGTAACCAATAAAACGTAGCAGTGTATGCTCAAAACATTTTAAGCCTCATTGTTTTAGATGGACTAAATATGCTTAACTTATGTAATTTTTAATATAATTAAGATAATTTTTTTAAATGTAATAATTTCTTGTTGTATCTTGTTGTTTCTCCATAAGTGATATAAGTTTGATCTTGTTGATAGTTATGATTTTTGACATTGTTCTGTACTTATGTATTAAAAATTGACTAGCATTGCTTATTTTATTTTCAAATGCTGACATTCTGTATTATTATGACTTGTAATAATTGGGTGGCATGACAATGACAAAATATTTACTTATAAATGTATTGATTAAACATGAATCCTCATTTACAAATGTTGGAACTTTATCTGTACTACCATGTTTTATGCAAATAAAGATTTAAATAAAAGAAATAAATAAGTAATTTAAAGTCCGGACCTAAATATACAAATGAATAATTTATTATGCAATAATAATTGTAAAACTGACTGGGAATGCCTACCAATGGGACATTTAGTCCACCCTTAATCCCTTTTATAAAGGTGTTATAAACATTAATGTGTAAATAAATTAAGAAATAAATGTAATAATTATGATAATTTCTATTTAATTGTCATAAATAATGTAATAAAGATGTTTTTGATAAGAGATAAGTATTACCTATCTAAGTATAGCTTAGGAGTTGTACCTTATTATTTATACCATTAGAATATATTATATACAAGGCAAATATATATACTCTCTTCTAATCCAATTCTAACGACCAGCACCCAAGAATTTCTGCCATGTAAAAGTATAAATCAAGTTTACAAATGCACATTTTTGAGAAATTCTAAAGCTACTCAAACCAAGAATTACAACGAAGAATTACAAGGGAAGAAGACAAAAATTTTGTTAAATTTGTTGTTTATTAATGTGATCAAAAATTAATAAGTAATCGTTTGTTTATTTTGATTTTATTGAATTATATTTAATATATAATTGTGTTTTCATTTCTTTTACTTAATGTAACATTTTTAATATTTCTAAATGTTGTGTAAGTACACAAAATTTAGTTCTTTTTCCTTTTTATATTTCAATATATTTTCATTTAAATAGAATATATATCTTTACAGTCTATCAAAAGTCCACTGTTGAACATAAACATTATTATAGTTATTTGGCATAGTTTCAACGCTTGGAAAGCGGGTTGTCAAGCACTGTTTTTTTTTTATTTAGCTGTTATCGGGAGGATGCTGCTATTTATCTTCTTTGATGTTTCCCTATGTCGCCTCATACACCACCCATGGAATGATATGAGATAGCAGATAATATTAGACTGCATGATAAATTAAAATAGAATATTATAAAACATTCGTTTTTATTTTATATACCAACATATTACAAAAACAAACCCTTTGTTGATGCTTTACAACGTATATTAACTAAACATTTTACCACCTTAACCATCAGGTAACATGATTAAGCCACCTAACCATAAGTAAGTGACCTAAAAAAGCCCTTCCACAGATATCCTCATAGGATGACTTTTGCCATAGTTGCCATGCCTGCGTGAAAATATGTGTTATGCTGGTTGGCCACCGCTGTTATTTATTATTTTAAGTTTTCATCGGGAAAGTGCTGCTGCCCCATCCCCATCTAGTATTATTGCTTACGACGCGGGGTAATATCACACCATGTACAGACAAATTCTCTTGTACGCCACAACTTGCCGCACACAAGACACTAACTTAGCAAAACATGCAGGAAATCGCGGGAGTAGGCTCATAACCGTGTTTTGTACTACAAAACCTAAGTGGAAACCCTTTCCTTTCGAAGGCCTGTGTTCAGCACTGAACTTGTGATGGAATGGTATGTTAAATGTTTTTTTTTGTAAAAACAACAAAACTCAACACAAGGAAATTTTGGTTTATTATTTAATATTTTTATTCTCAATTAATATTTAAGTACATACATAACATATTGTTATTTATTAGTGATATCACACTTTGTACTATTAGCGCCTTCACTTAGTGCCGTCGAAATCCAAAGAGTTATTGAATGTCCAGTAAAATCTTCGATGCGCCGTTGAATACCTACAGAATGATGATTCTGTTTTTACGCCGTTTCCGCCCGTAGTTTTTAGTCACAGAATGTATTTTCAAGAGAAATTAATTAATCATCTGAATTATAAAAGAACATTTTTTTTATGGTAACAATTAAGTTTTTTGTATGAATGTAAGTGCTGTGAATATAAATAAACCCATAACGGGGGAAATGGAACAATATCTGGTAACCCAGTGAAAGTACCTCCCGCCTATTTCTATCTCAAAAGCATACGCGAATGCTTTATCTAGTTAATCCTCTATCTACGAGCTACTGTGCACGTTTTTTTTTTAAACTGGCTTTACGGCTCTTGGTTCTAGCCTTTCTGAGTAAGGAAAAGAACATAGATAACTAAATATGTAGCAACCTAAAAAAGAATGAACCTCCGAGAATAGTACAAATTTTCATTTTCGGAGTTAGAAGTTTATTGACAAAAATAATAAGTATTTATTGAAAGTGTGTTTCATTTTTAAATTAAAATTTTCTTTGACTATAATAATTTGAATGTATTTTAACCTAGGTTATGGAACCTTTGACAGATTTGGGTTTGACAACTTTGACAATTTATTACTTTTAACTCTCGTAATGTTAATAGTTATTTCATTATTTAAATTAAAAAATAAACTATGGCAAAATATATAGCCCAAATAATAGTTTTGGGTGCTCAAGTCGTAGGAAGAGCGTTTGCACGAGCTTTGAAGCAAGAAATTGCTGCGTCACAAGAAGCTGCTAAGCGTGCTGGTGGAGGACCACAAGGCGCAAGACGAGCAGCTGCTAACGCTTCTACGGGACTAACGTTAGAAGAAGCAATGCAAATTTTAAATGTAGACAAATTAGACCCCGAGAAGGTTAAGAAAAATTATGAGCATTTATTCAATGTTAACGATAAATCCAAGGGAGGATCTTTCTATTTACAATCAAAAATTGTCAGAGCAAAAGAAAGAATAGATGTGGAACTGAAACCAAAGGAGTCACAACCTGAGTCAAATAAATCTAAGGATGCATCATGAAATTATGCAAAATTATTTTGTGGACTTAAGCCAATTTATTTTAATACTAGTTTTGTAGATATTTAGTGAAAGGGAAAATGTTTTATAAAATACTTTATTATGTAGAAAATGGACACAATAGTGACTAGAATACATCAGTCTTCATAATATATAAATGTTGATTATATTATAAAATTACATTTAGAACCATCTATGTCATACAGTTGACTTTGCTAAAATGCTAAGCATGATATAAATTAATACATTTTGCTAAGCACATGGTTGTTTTTTTAATAAGATAAATAGAAACTTCCAACATCTTGTTTGTAATGATAAAAATAAAACATTAAATGATTATCTGTATCCTTACACATTTTAAATAGATACTTTCCTTGAATAAATATTCTAGTTATACTGTTTTTTGATCTATGATAACACATTTTCATTTGATTTAGGTACATAAAGCTGCCTTCTTACCTTCAAAGTACATAGTTTCATAACATTAACTAAGTTTCTATTTCAAGATAGATCATATAAAATAATATATCACTTTTCACTGTAGCAATTTGTGCAAAATCTTTATATATGTATATACATTCTGTTAGTAAACATGCTGTATCTTCAGAACTGATTAGCTGCTTGAGGTCATATTCACACAATAAATGTGTTTCAAAGATATCTTAATATTGGATAGCTAGCAGTGTTGTCATCAATTTATTAACAAATTCTATGTTTAGGCACCAAATTGATGAAATTTTTAGGACTAAAAAATAAAATCATAGAAACTGGACCCGATAGTTGACACTATGGTCAAGGTCAAGGTATTAATAAATTTTATATTTATACTGTAAATGTCTGAAGGAAATTCAGAGTGAAACTCATCATGCTACCTACAGAGAGTAAAATAAGGCTGGCTAGTTTTTTTATATTATCATACTAGTAGCATGCATAATAGTCTAAAGATTCACATCTTTTTTTCACAGTTGATTGCATTTTCAGTTTGCTTTTCTAATTCTTTATAAATTCAAAACACGACATTCATTACATACACAACATAATTCCTTAAAACTACAATATGTTATTACTTAGTGACTAGAAAATAATGTGAAAATTATTTTGGAATGATATTGCTACATAAGTGAAAAATTGGAAGAAATTGAGCAATGGAAGATATATGGACATCATAAGAAATTGTTATTTTAAAGTTTCTCTAACATTTTGACACTGAACAATTTGTTTCCCTTCATTACATGTTTATCACCAATAGGCCTATATTCATTAATTCTTTAACTTCAACATTTGTTTTCGAAAAACAAAATGCAAAATAATAAAATTTTAAATAAATATTACCAAACGCAAAGGTACAAAAATTGTAAAAATTCATGCTGACTAGATATGACTAATTGATTTTAATATTTACTAAAGTTAAAACTTACCATCATATTATTTTAAGCCTCATAAATCTTAATCAAAAGTTTGATATAGATATGGCAGTGATATTGATGAAATGCATACATAATTTAAATGTCTTAATTATGGTTTTACATCCATCAAAATAACAACTTCATAAGGGCTGCACTCTGACATACCTAACAAGTTACAAAGCCAACCGTAAAAGCCTTTCTCAAAATCACGAACATCTTTCCACCAATTTGCTCCACTGAAAGTAAGCTGCACAATTCCGGCGTACAATCCTAAACCAACTGTAAAGATTACTATTAAAAATGGATATGATAATATTACTACAGGAGCCAATAGGGCCTTTTTAATACAATTGAAATTTTCTGTAACATGTGAAAAAATGTTGTACCAGGCTAGGGTACCTATATAAAATGAATAAACAGCTGAAATGCTAGCCACAAATGGAATGCAGAGTAGGCTGAATATAAATATATGTGGTCCATTATAAAGAGAGCATTTGGACACATCCATTTTGTTATATTCTTCAGCTACAATAGCGGCTTCAATTACCTCAAGTTCCTCTCTTGATATGTTCAATTTCACATCTACATTTTGGCCCTTCTTCTTTCCCCTCTTGATTGTACCAGTCATAGTTAAATATCCATCTTTGGAATTGTCAGTTAATGAAGAAGGTGAAATGGATCCCTCTGATTCAACTCTTAAATTAGTTATTTCAGAGTCTACGTTCTCAGATTCAATTACCCCAGGAACTATATTAACTCGCTTCTTCCTTTTTGCACTGTTTTTAAGACTATCAGTAAGAGGTCCCATTTCAAAGCTATTTTCAGATTGGGTCTGTGACATACTATTAGGTGTAGCACATGAACTTTCATTATTCTCTGAATTCAATATCCTGCAGCCCTTTTGTGTTTCAGTTTCATTAGCTTCTCTCAAGTCTCCATGGCTGGAACAGGCGTCTGAAGAGTTTTCATATATTGGAGACAAATCAATAATTTCACGACTGTTGTGTATAGTAGATAGAGCCTGATAGCCATTTTTCTGAAATGTTTGTTGTGAATCAACAAAATTGTCATTAGTGTCTTCATCAGTGACATCATTTATAATAGGGAGATTAATTTTCATGTTAGACTTTAGACCTTCCATAGTTGAATGAATGATTCCATTGACCACCTGTTCAGTAACTGGCGAGAGTCCATTTTTATACTTTGTAGGTATTTCATTATCAGCAACTCCCTGAAAATTTAATTAAAATTAGTTCAACTTGAAATTTTAAATATACCGTAAATTTTCTCTATTAAACACCTTTGATTTTGTCTTACAGGTAATTCATTTAATTAATTATTACAGCCTTGCCATATTCTACCACACCTTATTCAACATCCTGCCTACCATGTACCTAATATGGTAAAAATCTTGCAACTTTACAAGATTTATCATAATGATAAAATATTTTGGTGATAACTAACATTGCTTTTACTTTCATTACAATGTTGACATGTGAATATAAATAATATGTTTATTTTTATTAGGTGTTAATTTTTGTAGTAACTGGTTTTGGTTACTCATCGCCATAGTATGCAATAATCTTTGAAAATGAAACAAACAAAAAGGGTAAAAGTTTACCACCTGCACGGTTATAATATGATCAACGTGACCCGCCGTAGCATTCTGTTTCTTCCCATTTCGTTTCTTTGGTAATATAAAAATCGGCTGCTCCACTTTGGCCATGACTGCTGACATAATTTTTATTTGTAGAATGGTTAAATAGGCCGGCGCCTAATGTAGAATAAGTAAGTTATGACTGGTGATTAGTACAAAAATTCAAACTATTAGTATTAGCAAATGACAATATAATTTTAAAATACATAGCGATAGCAAATTTTGTCGCGATAGAATAAAATAAGACGCAAAGAGAATAAGAGAAGATGTTTTATTGTTTTATAAACATTCTTTTATTTTATTTTATTAAGATTTTTGGTTTGGATGCTTGTACTTTACGCCATGTCTTAGTTTCATTCGGGAACTTTGGCAGCAAATTGCCGCTCCTGTATTATTGTTTAAATAATGGCTTGATTTTAATATGTAAAAGTGGTACGATTTTGTGTACTAAATATCTGCGCATGTGCTCTATTAATAGGAAAGGTGAAACAAGTATTATGTGAATCTCAAGATAATGTGTCTGTCTGCTTGGGCGCCTTGAGATACTATCGCAAACTTTCTGCTGGCTCAATTAGCCGTCAAAATCTCCCGAAAACTGCACAATGTGACACATCAACATATTGTGAAGCAGTGTACTTAAAGAATTATTATCACTTGATACTGAAAATTGATAAAAAGGAAGATTTCGAGTAAAAAATGATATGGCTTAAAGAACAAGCGTACAAGCCAAAAATCTTATTAAATAAAAAACTGACTGCTGAATAGGGTTCCCAACTTAGGGGTTCCCCCCATAAATTTAGGGGGTAAATAAGTAGGGTGTGGTGGGATTTTTTAGGGGCTTTATATTTTAAGGACTTTTTTTCCACTTTAGCTGATGTTTGTTTAGAAGTTTACAATGATTGTGGCGCAACTGGCAACCTTTTGAAAATGTCTCAAATTTCCGGTTGTATGTTTTGCATTAATCATCACGGTTGCAATTTCTTATTATCTATTGAAATGTTACCAAGTGTAATGATGATCTGATCAAATTGCAATGAAATCGCGCATCATTTATAAGATTTAATTAATGGATTAAAATCCATTAATTAAATGTGCTGGAAACATCAGGAGATAAACGAAATCATATGTAAAATTTTAAATAATTTCTAAATATAGGACTTCACAAAACATTGCTTTGTGCTTAGGGAATTTCCAAGTAAATAAGGTGATTTTAGGGGTTTTTGACTTAACTTTTAGGGGTCAATATTTTCTGGAGTTGGTAACACCAGGCCTGTCTCACTCCGCGCTTTAGGCATCAAAATATATCTACGCTGCGTGGTCCATTACAAGCGGCTAATTCCGTGAGATTGTCACACGTGCGCACGAGGTGACGCGCGCCTTAGGTTAAAAAAAATATTAGTATTTTCCTCTTATAATATTTAGCCACTTTTGATATTTTTTGAGTTTTTATACAAGTATGGCCTCTCAAAAAGCCAAAAGGTACTGCATAGCACGCAGGTGCTTAAATAATAATAGGTATGTCAACTTTTCATTTTATACTGTTCCTAAGGATACTGAAAAGTAATATATTATTATTTATAGGTAGATCTAGATAATTAGGTACTTTGTTACTGACGCTATAGTTACTTCGCAGTTTTCAATTTTTCGCATATAATGACAACGACCTTCAAAATCCTTCAGTGTAAGTAGACCTCCCAGTACTAGTGACTGTCTACTAATGCAAAATTTGCATTTATTGAATATATTAGCATATAAGAAAGAAATTGAATATAGCAGCACTTCTCATTGCTACTCTTTAATTAATAACGCCGTTGTGGGATAAAGATAGGACTTATTGTAATCTGCGGAGCTGGTTCATTGATATTTCAATTCATCACCAAAATGTTCATAAACGGCTGGCACGTGTCGCTCAATTATCGGTTCTTATCACAGCACTAACGGTTTCTTTTTGAGTTTAATTGTTTTAGCGCGGCGGGTTATTGATGCGGGATTAGGATTAACTTCTTAATTTTGATGAAATCCTTTTTGAGGATTTCTGCGGAACTTAAGCGTGGGTGCGGCCAATGTGTGAGTGAATGGGTGATTAGCGAATGTAATAGTTGAATGAGTGTACGCGTAAAATGGCCAATCCAGCAGTCGTGTGTCACATGTTTGTAAATAGCAATAATTAAAAATTAAAAATTTTGTACAACCAGCTTCAATTTAAATTATTAAAAATAACTCAAAAACTATTGATCAGACCTTGATCAAATTCATATGGGACTACATGAGAAGCACCAGCTTTCAAAAAAAATGGAATAATCGAAATCGGTCCACCTAGAAAAAGTAATGAGGTAAGACACATAAAAAACATACAGTCGAATTGAATATCTGGTCCTTTTTGAAGACGGTAGAAAATGTGAAACAGACACGTGATGGCTCCGTGGCGCAGTGACTTAGTAATGAGTTGCAGCGTTAAGGGTCGCGGGTTCTAATCCCGGACGGAACAAGTATTTGTATGGCCTACAAATAATTGTTCTGGGTCTGTTCTATGTATGAAAACTATCCCTGCGATACAGAAGAAAATCCTAATGTGAAGGTAACGTTTTTTAAAAGAGAGGAAGAGAGAAAACTAATTAAATTAAAAACAACATCCGATTATTAACACGCATTATTAAGGATAACTTCAAATTTACTGATCAGATATTGATAAAATTTATATAGGATGTATAAATTATAATTATCAGCTTTCAAATAAAAATAGAATCATCAAAATCGAATCATCTAGAAAAAAGTTCTGAGGTAACACATAAAAAAATACAGTCGAATTGAGTGCCTCCTCCTATTTTTGAAGTTGATTAAATATGGTAAGTAGCTAAATTATCTAAGTTTCAAAGACGTTTACGTTGTTACAATCTTAATTTTCCTCGATGTTGCATATTAACCTTCCTCACATTGAACAGTAATGTTTTTATTATCAGCAAATTGACGGCTCTGTGACGCAGTGGCTTAGCAATGAGTTGAACTTGAACTTTTCGTTTCTTTCCACCAGACATCATTTTTGTTTACTTTTTGTTCAATAAACTTAATAACAAACTATAGTTAGTAACCACTCAAGATGCACACAAAGTCACAAAGCAAGTTGACGGCTCGAGCAGTTCGCTAGGATATCACTTGTCCAAGTTATCCTTCTCCCAACTCCTAAGTAGCTATTATTAAAGACAAACTTCGAATCAGATTGGCCATCAACACTGCCGAATCCATCTTGAGAATAAAATATATATTGCTAGAAGGATGTGTTCATTTTAAACAAAGTTCAAAGATGCTAAAGACACTTTTTAAGTCCGAAAAAATGAACGGAACTACAGACAACACGTATAAAAATGCTGATCTAATTATGGAAGTTATTGATGAAATAGTATTAAATTTTACTTAATTAATAAATAAATATTCGACATTTTGTGGGGGTTTTTATCTTTATAACCTTAAATTTGGGGAAATTTCGGGGAACATTTAGGGAGAACCCGAGACGGCCATCTGGCAACACTGATTCATTGTTCATTTAATTCCAATGACACAATGATCAGTATCATATTTCTGTATTAGGACAATTACTATACTCTTTGGTATCATAGACATAGAGATCAGTATTGAATTATTTATACTATCTAATAAAAGTTTGATAAATAAACTTTGTGTGCTAAATAAACATACAGCTTAAAATAAAACTCTGGGCTTGAAAGGAAACAATGCTGAAGGTGGTCTTGTAATTGTTACGTGTAATGTATATTGTTACCACAACATTGCGATATACTAACATAACCTCTTTTGTAGGGTATGGTGAGTTTGGTTACCGGGGGTGCTTCGGGTTTAGGTAAAGCAACCGTAGAAAGATTAATTAAGAGTGAAGGAAAAGTTGTGATATTGGACATTCAAGGCACAAGAGCACAGGAACTTGCGAAACGTCTTGGGGAGAATGTAGCTGTTTCTGTTGGTTGTGTAAGTTAGATATCTTATTGTAGGGTCGTTGCGCCGGTAAGCCGACCGGGTATAGTTTTCGGCCTTTGGCACGAGGTGTTGCAGTAAATTTGATCTAATAACGATTTTAATAAATATTATCGTCATAAATTAAGTTTAAGGCATTTGTAAATAGTTGCATTATATATTACAATATTACTTCATCGGGTAAACACAACACGCGATTTATAATAAATAGTTCAGTTTGACGCCGGCACAGGAGCTGTCAAAGAGTGTAAGATCGTGCAAAAAGAATAGTGGCGCGTGTTTCACTCAAATGTAAATTTTGCGCTGTATTTACAATGATTATTTAATATTGTGCTTATATTTCACTGTATAAATAACTTAATTTTAAATTTTCACATAGATGACTATAATATTTTATTGTAAAAGTTAATAAATTAGGTGGCCCGAAAGTGACACACAAAATTTTCCTATTATTTGGTTATCGGCCATGTGGCCGGAAAGTAGCCCGTGTTTAGCCTAAATACTTTGTCTCTTTCATTTATTTCGTAACCTACTATTAGTCTTCTTTCTTTTTTATAATGAATTGTATCCTTGCGAAGACACTAGCTTTCAGTTTTCGACAACCAAATATTGCAATTTGAATGATTATTGATGTAACTAAAATACCCATTTTAGTTGTGGCCGAAAACTATATTGAGTCTAAAATTATTATTTAGTTTTTGGCCAACTTAAAATTATATGAAAGAATAGGGTAGCCGAAAATTGAATACTGCTTTGGTTGACAGACATTTCATGAAATATTTCAATGACGTTGCGTTTTAGGAAGAAGATTCAGTAAGACATTATTTTCTTCAGATGGCTCCTCCAAAGAAATATAATTAGTAAATGGTTTCAGAAAATGTGTACTTAATGAATTTGATCACCATGTAGTGGATTACTCAAAATGTGTCCAGAATACCCCGGAAAGACCAATTAGTGAAAATTCAGACACTAGAAAAAATATATTTCTAAAGAAATAACTAACGCAGACCTAGTTTCCACACAAAAAGTTTTGAAACATTTAAAATCAAATCTGGCAGAAAAAAAACATGGTTGGCGATGTTTTAGTAACTATGAATTCATCTACCGATGCATTAGAATCGTTTATCAATAACAAAATTTCACATTCCATTTGTCAGGAAGTTATTTGGATATCTATCAGTTTCTTAGTATCGTTTGATGATGTTCTTGTAATCCCAACTCAAATGAGCCTACCAATGACAACAGTACTGACAATGCCAGAAATGGTAATAGATTCCAGTAATGCAATAATAACAACTCAAAGTAGTATAATGGCCACGATGATACCACCACCACTAACACAATAGATTCCAGTAATGCAATAATAACAACTCAAAGTAGTATAATGGCCACAATGATACCACCACCACTAACACCGATGATAACAAACAACCCCTTTGAAACTTTAGAAAATGTGCTGGTTGATATTCCAATAAAACAGACTAGTACACCTCTAGAAACTAGTGAAACATCAGCTTGAGTACTATTAAATAAAGAATACAGAGATGCGATAGAAAAAACATTTATTTAAACCCGAACTCGTAAAAAAATCAACCATTAACAGTACACGTACACCTTCTTCTGTAGCAATTTGATATGCAGAGTGGCGATAATTTTAAAATGATAAAGAGAAAGTTAAAATAGAGAAGTTAGAACTAAGTTAAAAGAGATAAGATATTTTGAAAAAGAAAATAATATAAAAAGAAAAGTTAAAAAATGCTAAAGTACAAAAACGAAAAATCGTAAAATCCAAGAATTCCATGAAGGAAAATGAAAGAGTAAAAGTAAATTACAATTTAATAAGCAATACAGAAGAAGATATGGAAAAAATTGGATGTGACTTTTGCACCAAGTGGATTTGAGATGTATAGATTTTGTTGGACTAAAATATGAGGCAGCATCCGGGAAATTACAGCACATCTTCTCGTCAGGTATACCTCAAAACGAAACTGTACAAACAGTGCGTGTTGCCAATGATGACCTATGGAACTGATATGTGGTCCTTCACTGCTGGCCGGATGAGGAAGTTCAAGGTTGCTCAGCGAGCTATGGAGAGGGCTATGCTCGGAGTTTCTCTGCATGATAAACTTAGAAATGAGGATATCCGTAGTAGATCCAGAGTGACCAACATAGCCCAATGGGTTAGTAAGCTGAAGTGGCAATGTGCCGGCTATATAGCTCGAAGAACCGACAACCAATGTGGAAAAAGGTTCTCGAATGGCGGCTTCGTAACGGCAGACGAAGTGTAGGGCGTCTCCCCACTAGATGGAGTGACGACCTGGACCTGGACGAGACATGCAGGAAGTCGATGGATGCAGGTGGCTCAGGACCGTGTTTTGTGGAATTTCTTGGTGGAGGCCTACGTTCAGCAGTGGACTTGTGAAGGGATATAATGGAAAGGCTGATGATGATGAAAATATGAGGAAGTACAAAAAAAACGACACGAAATTTTATTATAATTTTACAAAAATTATATTAAGTTAAGGTTAAGGCTAATTCTTGTGGGCCGAAATATAAAATTTGGGGCCGAAAACTAGCATTTTACATATTTTTCACATCAAAAATTATTATAAAAAAGAGATTTTTCTTCATCAGAGTTACAAAAATGAAACCTACATTATGTAAGCTACAAATTAACATTAACGGCACTAGGCCAGCATAATGGCAATTATTTTTTCTAGTACCTTAAAGTTAACAACTCCACTAAAAGGCCGAAAACCAGCACAATGACCCTACTTACCTTTTCTACATCAGCCCTTAGAACTTTGCTGCTTGGCATGGACCTCTCCCATTGTAGGGATGATTTGCCCTTATTGTCACACTTAGCAGGCAGGATGTACATTATTATTTTTTTGTTTTATTAAGGACAACATATCTATACATATAATAAAACTGTAAATAGCAGATGTCTGTACATTTAATATTTTTGTAATAAAAGTGATTGAGGGGTACTAAAAATAAGTAATTAAATACATTTCTACCATTTTTAGAATTTTCTGTCTGTCTGTCTGTCTGTCTGTCTGTCTGTTTGTTTGTTAACGTATCACGTATAAAGTACTAATTTATATCATAAGAATTGTTAAGGAAATTATAAAGTGTATCTTCGGGTTACATTTAGTCTTTATTTCATTAAAATCAGTTCATTCCATCAAAAGTTATGATAAATATTCTGAAGTATGGGTAGGGAAGTATAGGTACGAATTTGCTCAACGGTGGCTTTGTTTGAGTCATCAAGTGCATTTTAAACTAATATCATATCATAAATCATAGTTAAATTATGTAAAATAATGATATAATTATGTATATCTAAAACGCAGTAAACAAAAGTAATAAAGAACGTATTAAATATATTATACAAAAATATATTAACCTTATTAACTAAATCTGAAGCACAATAGTTAACCCATTTCTTCGATAGATGGTGGTGTTGTGAAAATGCAATGCAATTGCAAATGTGGTTTTTTCCTGTAGATAGAGTTTTCATATTTACTGCTAATCTTTATTATATTACTCGCTGCCCTACTGCGTGTTGACAAACTCAATTTATTCTTTACCGCCGAGTACTCTATGTGGTAAATCAAATTTTAAAAGAGCTATTAACAATTGCATTGGTTTTGGCGAGAGTCAAACTTTATTTTTTGCTTACTGTGCAGGCACTGATTTATAAGTTCTCTTACGTTTTATATAATGTATCAATCGCGTCAATTAATCTCTTTTATTTTTAGAATTGATGATGTTAGCAGCGCCATCTCTCTTTAAATATATACATATAATAAAAATGATGATAACATGTTGTGTCTCTTTCTGTACATTGTATATATATTTTGGTGGCTAAAATCATTATGATGAACTGAAAATAATTAAATAAGAACATTTTATAATTTTTAGAATTGTCTGTCTGTCTATTTGTCTGTTATTATATGAACGCATCACGTCTAAAGTAAACATCTTTTATTTTCAAAGAAATCGTTAAGAATATCATAAAGCGTATCTTCGAGTTACATTTAATCTTTGTTTTATTAAAATTGGTTAATTCTATCGAAAGTAATGATTATTATTTTGAAATGTAGGTTCGAATTTGTTCAATGGCGCCATAAAATCTCAGAAATAGTAATAAAAAGATTTCTGTGTAAAAAAAAACGTTCCATAATAATTAATATATTTATACTTAAAACACAAAAAGAGATAGGATGTTTTCTCACACAAAGGACGTAATAGATGGAGTTGTACAAATTACAAACTTTTCTGAATTGCTGTGTTGAGATTTTTCGCCGATGAATCGTATCGTAGATGACGCCTTGACACATATGAGTATTGGTATTGTATAGTTTGTAATATGTAGTATATTGTAATTTGTATTATATAGCCAATATTATTTGTAAATTATGTGTTTCTTTTTTATGTTATCTGTGATGGCGTCATTTTGGAGAATAAACCTTTCTTTCTTTCTTTCTTTCTTTCTATTGAGACTTACTGAAGAAATTTGTATCCATCGAAGCCATACAACGGAACCCGACCAAAAATAAAAATTTCGCAACGAAATGTCGTGATATTGTATTTATAATATACGCAAAATCAGAACTGCCATTTTAGCGCTTTGGGAACTAAATTTAGCACTTTTTTGGAATGTATAGCGCGCATTTCGAAATTTTAGCACCTAGCGCTTAATCCAGCGCTTTTTGGTGTATTTAGCACACATTTCAATATTTTAGCGACTAGCGGGTTATTAACTCTTTTATAGCAGCACTGTTAGTCCACATTACCGATAATAATAATAATGACCTTTATTATTTTTTCCCACAAATAGTACATTGCAGTTTATCTTTTTCAAACATATTTTTTCCACAAAACAAAGAGCATGGGAGACGAGTCCAAACTAGGATATCCTGTGCTATGGATCTCCTGGCTTCCCCTTTAGGATGATCAACTTGATTTTTTTACCGACGACTATAAGCGGGGAAATCCCCTTTATTAAAGTTTTCGTTCATGGTTTTGGCAACGCATTTATTTTGCTTTATTCAGTTTCAGTCAGTTGCTTAGAGCACAGCTAAGTTAAAAGTTACTTAGAAGTTATAACACAAAGAAACTGTGTAGCAACCGCAATCAGATGCTGACATCTGAAACTAAGTTGCGAAATACATTGCACTTTAAAACAATTAATGACATTTTTATTGTTCGTACAGTTCTAACTACTGTTGACAGCAATTGCTATAATTATAAGTCGATGTCCTGCGAAGTATTGATACATCAAAAAAATATTGCCAGAAAAAAAAACTTAATGTTGTTTTCTTTATTATGATTATATAAAAATACACAAACTTTGTTTGTAGTTAATTTAGCGCGAAATCTAGGGCTTTTTTAAAGCGCTGTTTTCATGAAATCTAGCGCTTTTTGTGTTCTTTTTGTGACCGTAAATAAAGCACAAGGTTAAACTTTACGCGTTGTAGGAGTGTACCTCAGTACTGACTGTTTTGCACATGGCCAACTCTATGTTGCTTTTTCCCGCGTTAGTAGCACCCGTAACCTTTTGTGTACACCCCGGCTAAGCCTACTTCTAACGTCGTTTACACAGAAGCTCTATCATAAACGACTTAGAACTTTGATGATAATGATTTATTTTGTTACCACTTATTGATACAGTAATGAAATAAATCGTTTAATATTCTCTTACCTAAACGACAAATTCTTTATGTAAAACCTGTATACGCGAGCTACGCCGCGGGCACAGCTAGTTGTATAATAAAAATTACAATTCAAATTATTGGTATAAAGTAATTCCTACGCCGTGTAGTGGAAGTACAAGAGAATCTGTTATCCTATTTTGTTCCGTGAGACCGGTGGTGATATATATATTAATTAATGAATATATATTTTTTTACTTTTAGGTTTCATCTGAAGACGACGTGAAAAAGGCATTGGAATTGACAAAAAGTCTATACGGTAAACTAGACACTGTTGTGAATTGTGCTGGATTTGCACAAACACGCCAAGTATATAATTTTTACAAAGGTCAGGAGTGTTCAATGGATGATTTTATTAAATGTATCAATGTAAGTCGATTTGTATTGATATAACAACTTTAAGTTAGCTAATTAATTTAGTAGTTTAAGTTAGTTAAAGTTACATAAATGTACATAAACACTCACACCTGTCACCTAGAGGGGTAGGCAGAGACTACAGACTTCGGGTGCTTACATAAAGAAACAGGTTTCCGGTACAGACAAATCTGTACTGGTCGGTACCGATCGGTGCAGGTATAATATTTCTATGTTATCTTATGCGGTCACATATAAAGAAACATGTTTAAACTTGTCGGTACCGACAACCTCCACTGAGCCATACAGGTTTAAGCATTTGCCGGTGTAGGGTGTATATGTTTATGAAACTGAATGTGGATAACGAAGTTTTGATAGCCTTGGTATTTGATAAACAACCTTTATGGGAGAAAAGAAATAAGTTCCATAGCAACAGAATGTCACCGATAAGTGTTGTAAAGAGATTAGTTTTGAGATGAAACAGGATGGTAAGTACCCATAATAAAAAATAGATTTGTATATTTAGTTTTTAATAATAATTAGTTATAGTACAAGAAGTGATTATGTCTGAAATATTAAACAAAATTATTTCTGACGTTTGAAGCTACAGTCGGAGGTGGGCTCAGTCTTTGGTTGTGCCATCTTCGTCGTAAAAGATTTATAGGAGTCAAGTTTCTCTCAATACCCTTTTTATCAATAATTATATTTTGCAACAAACACAACCGACCTGGCGACTCGACCTTGCAACATACAACGCACGCACACAGATAGACAAGTTACGCTGGCATATTATAGGATTATCCAAGGTCCGAAGAGAGGGAGAGGACACGATAATCCTCGAATCCGGCAACTTGCTCTATCACCGGGAGGGCGACCATCAGTCCCAAGGAGGTGTCGGATTCATCGTCCACAAGTCTCTTGTTAACAATGTTGTAAAGATTGAGAGCGTATCGACGAGGGTTGCGTACCTTATACTCAGAATCACCAAACGGTATTCGCTGAAGGTCATACAGGTTTACGCACCAACCTTGGGACATCCCGATGTAGAGGTAGAGGAAATGTATGAGGATATCTCTTGAGCCATGCATTCCTCTAAAACCCACTATTTGGTGTTAATGGGAGACTTCAATGCAAAACTAGGCACAAGAGAGAACGGTGAGCTGAAAGTAGGGAAATTTGGAATAGGGCAACGGAACCCAAGTGAAACCAGCAGCTGGCCGACTTCATGGAGAAAGAGGAACTCTTTATGATGAACTCTTTCTTCGTCCCCACAGGAAGTGGTTCGACAAAAAATGAGATTGATTTCATTATGACGACCAGACGACAACTGTTCAGTGATGTCTCAGTGATCGCGAGGGTGAAAACCGGCAGCAATCACCGAATGGTTAGAGGCACACTGAACCTAAATGTTAAGTTGGAGAGGTCTTGTCTAATGAAGTCAACGCTTCGTCCCCCTCGTGCTCTATTCCAAAGTCCCGAAACGTTTCAACTCGAGTTACAAAACCGTTTTCAATGCCTAGAAGACTGAAATGAAATGGACGATATGAATGACAAGCTCGTGGAAAATGTCCATGCGGTCAGAGCTAAGTTCTGCAAGACCCGCCGCAGAAGAAAACAAAAACTCTCCGATCACACTCTTAATCTCATGGCTGTTAGACGAGAGATGGAGCTACATTCTTCAACAGATTTGACAGCATACAGGCAACTGAACAAACAGATCTTCAAATGCATGCGGCGGGACTTGCGCAACTTCAATATAGCTTGTATTGAAGAAGCGATCGAGCGGAACCAAGGCTCCAAAGTCTTTGCCAGAGACCTGTCTGCCAGAAAGAGCCAACTGTCAAAACTGAAGACCGAGTGTGGCAGCATTGTTTCCGGGACACCTGAGATTTTGAGTGAGATTGAGAGGTTATATGGGCAGTTGTACACGTCATCGTTGGAGCCACACGCAAGTGTGAGTAACGATCCAAGAGCGAGTCTTATCCGACACTATTCCGAAGATACCCCGGACGTCAGTCTGAGCGAGATTAGAATGGCTCTCCAGCACATTAAAAACGGCAAGTCCCCGGGCGAGGATGGAATTACAGCGGAGCTTTTGAAAGCGGGTGGAAAACCGGTACTTGAAGTCCTTCAGAAGCTCTTTAATTCCGTCCTCCATGGTGGCACTACTCCGGAGGTGTGGAGCAGAAGTGCGGTGGTCTTGTTCTTTGAGAAAGGCGACAACGTTGAATAAAACTGCCTTTACGGATTTTATCGCGTTTAATTAAGTTATTTTATATTACCGACGTTTCGGTTGCTTTCCAGCAACCGTGGTCACGGGGGACTGAGGTGATTTACGTCCCGATGTCAAAGTTAACCCGGAGTACCTTCCGCTTTTTAATTATTAATTTTTGGTCCGATCTACGCAGAATGAACTAACTGTGTCTTGAAGTCTTGCAGTGGTATGCTTGGGCTTAGTTTTAATTTTATGAATTACAGGATCCCAAGCAGGTGGTCGTACCCAGTCGCCCTCTCTATTGAAATTAGGATGTTTTTTAATTTCAATAGCCTCACGTATCATCCTTGGCAGGAATCGATGTTCTTTCGCGAGAACTTGTGGTTTATCAAATCTAATGTAATGGCGGGGGCCGTCTAGGATATTATCACAAACTGCAGACTTCCCGGAACGTTGGTGCTTCACGTCAGCTATGTGTTCTTTTACGTGGGTTTTTATTGATCGTTTTGTTTGCCCTATATATGACAGACCACACTCACAATCAAGCTTGTACACTCCTGCATCTTGTAGAGGAATATTGCACTTGACGGATAGTAAGAACTGACTAATCTTCTTCGGCGGCTTGAAGAATGTTCTAATAGAAGCTCGCTTCAAGATGTAGCCAATCTTGTCTGTGACACCTCTGACATATGGTAGTACAGCAGGCACACGCTCGACTGTGGCCGGCTTCACTCGGTCACTGTGAGTAGAAGCTTGTTGTCGTGCAGAACCTGCTTGACGTGCTGAAGGTCGGCGGCCAGGTGTTTGCTGTCACAGATCTCTCGTGCTCTCTGCAACAAAGATTTGCCCACGGTAGCTAACTGTGAAGGGTGATGATGGTGGGATTCACCGTTTAAATACCGGCTTGTATGGGTCTTTTTTCTATACACAGTGTGACCTACGGTGTTATTAGGATTTCGAATGACTAACATATCTAGGAAAGCATTGTTTGTTGTAAGATTCTCCGCGCAGATAAAGGTAATGCTACGGTTATAATGGATACGTCGGATTACAATTTTAAAATACAACAACTTTTATCGGATGAAAGTACGTACGTAAAGGTCAAAACAGACCCTACAACTAATACGCTTAAAACAACTAGCGATCTAATAAAGAAATACTCCGAGAAATTGAATCTAGACGTTAATTCGATAATACCTGCGTGTGCCAAACCACCGAAGTTGAGGTTACCAAAAATACACAAACCGAACGCTCCATTACGTCCAATAGTGAGTCAGATCGATTCGCCAACTTACAGATTGGCTCAACACCTAGCAAAAGTACTATCACCACTCAGAGGACACACAAGAGCACACACTAAGGATTCATACCATTTTGTCAGTGAGATAAAAGACCTATGTCTTACTGACAATGAAACAATGGTCGGTTTTGATGTTCAGTCTCTATTTACATGCCTACCTGTTGAAGACTGCATCTCAATTGTAACTAGGAAACTAGAGGAAAACAACATGCCAGCAGACAGTAAAAGTAGTTTTGTTCAATGTGTAGTGTTCGCGTAAATATAAGAAATCATTATAAAGGCGACAACGCTCTCTTGAAGAACTACAGACCGATTTCCCTTCTGAGCCGCGTCTACGTGCTGTTTTCGAGAGTCATTACGAATCGTCTCGCACGCAGACTTGACGACTTCCAGCCTTCCGAACAAGCCGGTTTCCGAAAAGGCTTTAGTACCATAGACCACATACATACCCTGCGGCAGATTGTACAGAAGACAGAGGAGTATAATCTGCCACTTTGCCTTGCGTATGTGGACTATGAGAAAGCCTTTGATTCCGTCGAAATTTGGGCGGTGCCAAGTTGACTGTCGGTATATCGAAGTGCTGAAGTGTTTGTACAGTAGGGCTACGATGGCTATCGGAGTACAGAACCAGAGTACGAAACCTATCCAACTACAGAGAGGTGTAAGACAGGGTGACGTTATATTCCCGAAACTCTTCACCGCTGCATTGGAAGACGTTTTCAAGCTACTGGACTGGAAAGGATACGGTATTAACATCAATGGTGAGTACATCACTCACCTTGATTTGTCAACGATATAGTCCTTATAGCCATAATCGCTGGAGGACCTAAGCAAAATGCTCAGTGACCTCAATGCCCAACGGATAGGTCTTAAGATGAACATGGACAAAACAAAGATCATTTATAATGTCCACGTCACACCTATGCCGGTATTTGCGGGGGGCACTAAGCTCGAAGTTGTTGACAAGTATGTTTACCTGGGACAAATAGTCCGACTAGGTAAGTCCAACTTCGGCCGAGAGGTCAATCGACGGATTCAACTCGATTGGGCAGCGTTCGGGAAATTACGACACATGTTCTCGTCAGGTATACCTCAAAACTTGCAAACGAGACTATACAACCAGTGCGTGTTGCAAGTGATGACATGCAGGAAGTCGATGGATGCAGGTGGCTAGGACTGTGCTTTGTGGCATTCCTTGGGGGAGGCCTATGTTCAGCAGTGGACTTGTGAAGGGCTGTAACGATGATGAACCTTGAACTGGCTACTAAATAGACTTTACCTCAAATTGGTACGCTTTATTGATAGAATTTGATAAATTTTAATGACAAAACAGTAAATTTAAAAATATATATTGCATAGACTTCGTTTTTTGCTTACAATAAGTCCAGTAAGTATACATAATATATATATAAAAGTTGGTGCTCCAGTCAGCAATTTTGTAACTTCTGAACATCTTGACTAAATGGAATTTATATTCATACAATACTTTTTTTTTGTTGGGACAATGATCCAATAGGTGGTGCAGTAGTCAAGTTGTTAACATATTCTATATTTTTTTTTATAGGATAGGGTGACAAACGAGCACACAGTCCACCTGATGGTAAGTGGTTACTGTGACCCATAGACATCTACATCTATGCTCAATAAAGACTCAAGATGCAGATGCGTTGTCACCCGTGAGGACTAAGATGGAATGCCTCTTTGCCAGTAAAAGGGGTCTCCGGTTCTCTACACAGCAGCGTTAAGCTGCTGTTTTACGCTGGTTTTCTGTGAGAGCGTGGTCCTTCCCCGGTCGAGCCGACCCATTCGTGCTACAACTATACTACTAATATAGCTGCAGCATGGCTCTACCACGTAACCGAGGGTTTCGTCTGTGCGATACAGGATTAGGTTTTTAAGATCAGAATCTATCGGAGATACATCCTAAAGGATGACGCCGTCAAAATCTGTCTAGCTTGTCGCCATCCCGGTGAGTCACTTAGGCATGTCATCTCCCGTTGTTCGGCGCTTTCTAACTGTGAGTACTTGCACAAACCCAACCTAGTAGCCAGGATTCTATACCAGGAGCTCGCTCTAAAATACAGTCTCATGGATCGGAAATTGCCTTATTACAAATACTTGCCGGAAGCTGTTCTCGAAAATGACCGCGCCAAGCTCTACTGGGTCTGGGCCATCATCACAGACAGGACTATTCTTGCGAAAAACCCTGATATTGTGCTATAATAACGGGAGATGACATGCCTAAGTGACTCACCGGGATGACGACAAGCTCGACAAATTTTGACGGCGCCATCCTTTAGGATGTATCTCCGATAGATTCTGGTCTTAAAAAGCTAATCCTGTATCGCACAGGCGAAACTTTCGGTTTCCCCAAAGAGGTCACCGAACCGTAGCTAGTGGAGGAAGGCGACCGTATCTCCGAAAGGCTCATGTAAAGTCTTGTAGAACCTCCCATGGAGCTCCTTCTCTTTCCATACGGTTTCCCGGTCGGAAATTCTCTGTACTGCTGGGACTTGTCACTGCTCGTTGGTTAAGGATAGAGGGGTAAGCACTTTATCACACGAAATGACGTCCGAGTAGAATAGTTCATTAGGCTGTACACTTCGCGATTATGCCTAGTGAAGGTGCTCAAAAAGCTACGTTCACCATATTTCTGCGGCAAGTACAGCCTTATAATCGACGATCTTGGTTTATTATGATTATTATTTATTGCTTTGGGGTATTTATTATGGTTTGGAAATTTTTAGAAAAAGCTTTTTTGTTTTTTTTTTTTTAAGATGGGTAAGCCTCTTTTGATGAATTTTAGTTGAGTTAATTTCTGGTGAAACGTATAAAAAAGAGGAAATTTTTTGTGAAAATCAACATTTATTAAACAATTAAATAGTAATTTAAATAATTTTAACGTTAATTTTAGTCTTAATAATTGCTTTGTTTATTTCTCTTAGTCTCACACAGATGCACTTCTAAACAGTTAAATCTTATAGTTATGAAACGATCTTAGTTAAAAATCATACTAGTTCTTTATAAGTTTACTATTATCTAGTCATTCTAGTATCTAATCATAGTTTACAATCTCATTGTTAATTCTCATAATCACATATTTGTTTCTTTTATTGTGTTGCGTACTCAGTAGTTACGCAGTAGACCAAGTAATTATTCATTAAACTAACACATGGCGCTAGGCTCTTCAATTATTTGAAAACAAAAATTATTACATAATAATGTCGAAAATCTTGTCTCGTCTCGGGTCTCGACCCGAAAGTCCCGGGACTCGAGACAACTAAAATTACGAAAAGTCTCGGGACTTCGAGACACGAGACGTCCCGGGACGCAAACCCTAGTATTTATAGAGTATTCTCATCTGGTTGGGTGGAATTAATATATAAAAGGAAATAATAAATATACATAGATATATATTAAATGTACAAACATAAATAAATAAATAATACATAAATAAAAGCGCAACCAGATGGAAGCCCTTGGCAGGTGAGACCAAACGACGGGGGGTTAGGGGGAAAGACAAAGAAACCATTTAAACCGTTTTATACAAAATTATTTTTATTATTAATCTCCCTCTTGCCCAAAGATATATCAAGTTGCTTCTGAATATTTTAATTGATAAATACCTGAAAATAAACAAGTCTATAATAATTTCATCTTCTTATTTTAATAGGATTATGTTATTATTATATTCCAATTTTAAGCATACCTACATAAATGCACAAATTTCAGGTTAATACAATAGGCACATTCAATACAATTAGATTGGCGGCTGGTTTGATAGGGAAAAATGCACCTAATGAAGATGGACAAAGGGGAGTAATTGTAAATACAGCTTCGACAATAGCATACGAGGGCGACATTGGTCAGGCAGGTTATGCTGCTTCTACAGCCGCCGTCATAGGAATGACATTACCAATAGCAAGAGATCTTGCATCAAGAGGCATCAGAGTGGTTACTATTGCACCAGGTTTGTAAAATTACAGTGAATAAATGTCTTCATGCTGGTCATAGTACAATTGATTATTGATACGGTAATAGAGGGGAAGGATCCGCGTCTTGAACTTTAAATTTAACTTTTTCGGACATTAATTTTTATTGTGGTATTTCGGCACCTAAAGTAGCAACCATGGATTGAATTCCGGTTGGGATGGATCAACCATGGACAGGATACCAATCCTGTCCAATGTAAAAACTGCTATTTGCGGCAACACTAACACCTACCAAGGTGTTAGTGTTGCCGCAAATAGCAGTTTTTACATTTTCAGCATAAATCAAAATGTCTCATGAGTCTATTTAAAAAAAATAAAAGACTTACTTTTATTTTTTGATCATTGTGATACAATTGGTTCTCCGTGCTGCTACAAAACTCGAGATACTATCCATACAATCTGCATGATTGGCGGTTCATCACTGTGCATTTTACAAGGACTTTTCTTTCTCGCACAAATTCCTTGTGGAATCGATTACCACCAGCGATTTTTCCAGACCGATACGATTTAGGGACCTTCAAGAAAAGAGTCTACTCTTTTGAAAAAGGCCGGCAACGCATCTGCGATTCTCCTAGCGTTGCAGTTGTTTATGGGTGGCGGTAGTTACTTACCATCAGGTGAACCACATGCTCGTTTGCCTCCTCTTATATAAAAAACAATGATGACGGTTAAATCATTTAGTTTACGCTAGGCGTCAAATATTCAGACCGGTGACAGGTAACAGCATTAAAGGTGCGAAGCGTCTGGAACTGCGATTGTCAAGCGTCTGCTAAGCGTGTCGATTAAGGTTCAGCTTACACTGGCGCAGAGTCGAAGCGACGCGACGCGTCATATTTTTCCGCCTACAGCATATTCATCTCTATTGTTCTGTTATTTAAGTACAAATTTCTGCTATGCGAATCTTCCTTACAAAATGAGTGACCCATACCCAGCTGTGAAATTCACGGACTGATGGAGAAAAAAAAACGATGTACGTAAATGTTGAGAGGTCAAAAAGCCAACCAGTACTTGATAGCAGAGTTTAAATACTTTCAAAATATATTTGGGGTTTTCCTCAAGAAATTTGGTAATTTCGGTACCGGACATTGTGCGAGGAGACGTGCCGCATTGCCACTTCAGACTACTTACCGTTTGGACTAGGTCGGTTACTTCTAGGACTGATCTTCCATCCTCCTATAATTAGCTATAAAATATATAAATATTGCTTGTATTATGCAATAAAGCGAAAATTGTTTTCATAATTTTTGGTATTGGACAACATTGATTATAAATTTACAATTTTCTTTCAGGTATATTTGAAACTCCATTGGTCACTTATTTACCGGAAAAAATGATCGAATTTATAAAGCGAATGACACCATTCCCTTCAAGGCTGGGCAAACCCGAGGAATTTGCTCATTTAGTAACTAGTATAGTAGAAAATCCTATGCTAAATGGTGAAGTTATTAGATTGGACGGCGCCCAGAGATGGTTTCCTTTGTAATTAGTTGTAATAAATAAATATAGTGTAGATGCTTAAGACTGCAAATGTTTGTACAAAAGCTGTGTAAATGTTATTATTGTATGATTTGTTGATGATAATAAAATTTAAAATCCTATATTTGAATTTATTTATTCCTTATTTACGAATGAATTTAGCTTTTTTTTCTTATTTGCTTAAAATCAAAATATGAGACGCTGCTCTTGTCTGCTGGTTTGTTGCCCTCTCTCGAGTGTTAGAGAGGCGACAGAGGGAAACAAAACAGGAGAGAGGCAGCAGCGTCTCATATTCTGATTTTAAGCAAATAAGGAAAAATAAGTAATAACAACCAGTAAATAAAAAAACTGTTTATCAACCCGCCTTTCAGGCGTGATAAGTATGAGGAATATAGCCTCTGTGAGTTCACATTGATACGATAGGCTGTATGGGTAACTGCATCTAAAGAAATATACATAGTTCTCTACCATTTGTCAGTAGCGTCAAGTAAAAACAATTTTCATTCGAAATGATATGAACAATACGAGCAACGGCATTAACATTATAAATTATTTATTACATATTTATTTCAATTGCGAGGTTCCTTCTCAGTCCGGTGCGGTGTACTGTTTATCATGGCATTTATTGCTTTATCCCCTGTCAATGTGACAGTTGGCGGCACACAACGCGCGTGCGCAACGGGGTGCCGCCTGGCGGGAAATTCATGTATTGAGATATTTGCGTTGCAAGCGCATTTATTCTGTTTATATGATTATATACTCTATTATTCAAGCTACTAAGACCAAAATTAGAATGTAGATGTAAACAGTTGTAATTAATGTTTTACAAAGGTAAACGTGAATGTTAATGAGAGTAAAAATAGTTTATTTTTTATTTATTTATACTTGTTTTTTCTATTGCTAACAATTTTCCTTTTTATATTTCAATTTCGGATTTCTCATTCCTACCATGGTAGATCTTTTGTGTTCATGTTTGTAAATAATTATATTTATAGATAAAATTACTTGTCGGAAATATCGGGAATACATCAGATGGTTAATTATTAATACTGTCACGAGCCTTAGCACTCGTAGAATGATTTAGGTAGAATCAGTGAATCTACAGTGAACTTTATACTGCACAAAGAGTGGGGGTTTCTCGATATACCCTCAACTCTATCAATCGAATATCGATATGACAATTCGCTAGAGTGATGCAACCTCTCGCTCACTCTCGAACCATCCGGTATTTTATAGACGCGCCGTAATACTTTTATATTAAAAGGTACAGCTACTCCATTTTCTGAACTTAATTTTTTTTTTACCGCAGATGGTTTCCACAAATTACTATTATAAATTTATTTAAAACTTTGAAGCTCCTTTAAGAAACCATCACCATAATCATTACATCCCTTCACAAGTCTACTGCTGATAGGCATAGGCCTCCCCCAAGGAATACTACAAAACACGGTTCTGAATCACCTGCATCCATCGACTTCCAGCATGTATTAATTGAATCCGTCGATTGACCTCTCGGTCGAAGTTGGACTTACCTAGTCGGACTATTAGTCCCAGGTAAACAAATATACTCGTCAACAACTCTAAAAACTAAGAAATCAATTAAGTACTATTATTAAATTAAATGTTAATTGATGAATGTTAAAACAAAATTTCGTGTAAGAATAGTTTTAAAGCATTTCAGCACTGTAGTTTTCTTTAGTAATCAATCCTTTATTTTCTTTTCTGCTAAATAGATTTGATAAAGTAAATTTTTTAAATAAATTTTTCTTATACCTAAGTAGTTATTAAAATAGGCCATCGTTGGGTGGTTCAGTTATTAACATGCCGTTTTATCTCCTCTTTTGTTTTCCCGCCGTCCAGATTGACAGCTGTACCCTTACGAAGCAGAATCTAAGCCTGACTCCTGATGATAAGGTCCTAAAAGTCCCACGGCTCTTATAAACTTATAGAGTTTTAAACACATCAACACGGTATTGAGATATTTTTAATAACATTGCCCAACTAAAAAAGTACTGGCCGCTTGAAAATGTTTTTAATATCAAATTGTTCGTCATTTATTCCAGATTGATTACAAATTTAAATAAAAGAAAAAATAAAATGTGTTGGCGGTAATAATTTAACTACATGGAGCGACTTTTGTATTCAGAGTAATTGTTTTTTTTTGTTGATAACCGATATTTAAATATCTTTTTGATTTATTTTGGTTGATTGTGATAATTTGGTATTTTATTACAATGCAACGTCGATAATTAACTGGAGAGGAGACGTGAAGAGAAGTGGGAATGTTGCAGGCTGGTGCTTTTCAATGTGACGTTGGCAATAGGCACCAGGCAAAATGTGATTTCTAGGTTGTGGTTAGGCTGTCGTGTAACGGGAAGGTGGCGGAGAGATATCCAGGACCAAGCCGCATTACTACACCCAGACAAGACCGTTTTTTGCAAGTTGCAGCGAGAAGGCAACCAAACGTTACAGCTGCGATGCAATTTGTTGGACCAATCAAAATGCTACAGTCTGAGCACCAGGTACTTGTGAGTGACCAAACTGTGTGGAGGAGACTGCACTAAGCCTACCCTCATACTCGTAGACCACTTCGGGTTTCAGCTCTAAGAAGAGGAAATCGTGGAAGAAAACTACAATGGGCTTAGACAACATGTGAACTGGGAACCTCATCAATGTTCGTGGGCGCTGATTCGATGAGTGTACGTGTTTGAAGAGTTCCTGGTCATTAAAGCCGGCAATACCCTATAATACCCTCAAGAAGTTCATCAATACCAAGGTGGTACAATTATGGTGCGGGTAGGAATTCGTTTTGGTGGAAGAATGGACTTCGTTTGGATACAGTGCTCTATCACGGCTGAAAAATACCGTAATGAGATGCTAGAAGCAATAGTCTTGCCATATCATACTCTAATGGGTCAAAATTTCCTGCTAATGCACGACAATGTATATATGTGGTAGAGTCACGTTGCAGCTATATTAGTTGTTGTAGCACGAATGGGTCGGCTCGATCAGGGTAGGGCCATGCTCTCATAGAATACCAGCGTAAAATAGCAGCTGTCAAGTAGACTGTGTGCCCATTGAGCATGCTTGGGATATGCTCCAAAGAAGAGCTCTGAGAGATTTTCCTGAAAATCTGGTAACATATGAACAACTTTTTATGCATCTCAGTAGGATCTAGGACAATATTCTTCAAAAAGATATTGACAACCTCATTCTGAGAATGCCGTGCCATATTCTATAAAAAAAATTAAAAATGTAGCTGTAGGAATTAATGAAATTTTGTGTGGAGAATCAAAGATTTTTTTTTACTGGAACGAGGTTTTCCATCTTAGTCTTCAAGGGTACAATGCGTCTGCATGTTGAGTCTTATTGGGTGACATTGGTACCATTGGACAATACCATCATTTCTTCTCGAGATATCATAATTATTAGTGCCCATCACAAATCCACTGCTGAACATGTGCAGTTATGAATATCATGAGTGCTTTTACTGATTACTACGAAGGCGACACTGAATGTTTTTAGAACTGGCCACTTGTAAACGATATAATAAAAAAATAAGTTTAAATTTTGAAAATGAAACTCTTTGCCAATATTATTGTGTATGTATTTTATTAATTTGTGATTTGTTTACGATTTAGCGGGAAATCGAAAATTGTCTGTGTCACGTCAGCATGAATTTAACGCGAGAAAATTTTCGTACAATGATTTTTAATGTCTTGATATAATTTAAGTCAACAAGAAAGTTATGATAAACTTCGATTGGCCTTTCACGATGATGCCCCATCTCGTGTCACTGTTCACAACTGGTTTAATGAGTTTAAACGTGATCGCACTAATCTCACCGATGATCTGCGTGAGGGACGGACTTTTATGGCGGCGACTGAAGATAACATCAGTGTTGTGCGGCGTATAATAGAGAAACTTTTGGACATTTGCATGCTGTTGAAAACAGCTAAATAGGTTTTCTCAACACATTGTTATAGCACCAAGAACAAAATATTTTTGTACCTATTTACTAGCAAATAAAGAATTTGAATTTGAGACTGACAAAAGAGTGACTTATCAGCAGATTACAAGTTTAGGCATCGGTATGAGTCAAGTGCACAAAATCCTCCATGAACTTTTAGCAGTCTGGAAGCTTTGTGCCTGGTGGATACCTCATAATTTGACAGAGGCCCAAAAACTCCGTCGTGTTGATTGGTGTCGTGAAATGGTTCAAAGATTTAACGGAGGTGACTCAAATACTGTGTTCGATAATACTGGTGACGAAAGCTGGATTTATTATTATGATCCTGAAGCTAAGAGATAGTCTGCTGTCTGGGTGTTTCCTTCCGAGGAGTTGTCAACTAAAATTAAGAGAGGTCGAAGCGTGGGAAAAAAGATCGTTCTTCGGAAGGATAGGTCATTACGCAACAATTGCTTTAGGGGATCGAAAAACAGTTACTGCAGAGTGGTACGCTAACAATTGTTTGCCACTTGTCTTGGAAAAAGTTCGCGAGAAACGAGCTCGCAGTAGGATCCTTCATCACAATAACGCCTCGTCGCACACCGCCAAGCAAACAATCGACTACTTGGCGATGTCAGACGTGGAATTACCTGGTCACCCGCCCTATAGCCTTGACCTCGCATATTGCTATTTTTATTTATTTCCGAAAATAAAAGAAAAACTTCTAGGAAATCGTTGTATGGACGTCGAGGAAGCAGTGGCTACGTTTCGAAATGCCGTCAAAGAGACCCCTAAGGACGAGTGGACAAAGCAAAGTGTTTTTTCAGTGGTTCCACGGATGCAGCGATGTATTGATGTAAATGGACACTATTTTGAAAAGATGTAATAAAACTAATAACTTGCTAGTTTGTTCAGTTTTTGATTTTCTAAGAACTTTCGGTGTTATCCTCGTAACTCTTAATTAAAGGGCGACCAGCCTTTAAAAGGATTTTAATTTACTTTATTTTTTTAAATATAAAAATTAAACTTTCATGATGTACAGTTTTCACTTGGGTTTTTTTCTCTGCATAAAAATCTGAAATCTCATTTAAAGTTAATGTTTATATAAAAAAAAAAATGGTAGATTATTAAATAAAGACTTCTCGTATATTCTGTCACATGTTTAATATAAA